TTTTGAAGCTGACACGGCACGACAGGGTTTTAGCTCTGGCACCACCGCGGTGCATGGTACGTACTACACCACATGCACATCACGTGGTACGTAAAGTGATCGCCGTGTTGTTTAATTAAATACAACTGCCCCTCCTTCTTTGTACTTGGAGAAATGTTGAATGTTTCGGTTTACCAAGGTAGATCGGGTTCGCGCGCTTTACAGCTGCTCATGTGTATGCATGTTGAGTGGAGACCGGGGGGGCAAAAAAGTGCTCCTTCGATGAATGAATGAATGAATGCCCAGGAACGTGCATGCGCAAAAATGTCTTCAACGGTTTGCATTGCAGATCAATACAAAGCACGGGAGTAGTAGTAATTGCCGGGCCGGAGCAAGCAGCTCACGCTCGCATGCATGCGCACGGACGCGGCCCCGGCGCCCCGTCATGGTTATCGGAGGACTGTCCTAGCAACTTCACTTATCTCTGCCATCTTGATCGATGGTGCAGTGCAGGTAGAGGCAGAGCTAGACTGATCTAGAGCTGTCCAGCCTCCTTTTCTGAATTTTCAGCCGCAGAAATGTTTTCAACTGGTAGATTTTTCTTTATTTGCTTTTGGGTCCTAATTAAAGCCTGGGAATTTCATAGGAATTCTAGAGGATAGGATTTTTTGTAGGGTTTTTTTCCTGAAGAGCCCTTTGGTTCATAGGAATGGATTCCTATTCCTACATAGAATTGGTTCCTATCCTTCACATTTCATAGGAAAATAAAAATGAGCCTAGATTTAATGGAAAAATTTCTTTGGTGTGAACCAAATGACATCTCGTTTCCTATTCCTATTCATAGGTTTTGGGATATATGTCATCTCATTTCCTATAAATTCCCTATTCCTATGATAATCCTATCCTATGAACCAAAAGAGGCCTAAATATGTTTGCAGATTGGATTAGGTTTAAGCATTACATTGGGATTACTTTTCATGTGAATTATCTGATGTTTTGCCCCGCAAAAAAAATAATACTTATTATCTGATGTTGTGTGACATCTCTGCTTAATAGGGGTGATAGACTGCTCATATCAACAAAGTACACCTTCTTTTCCTTTAACATGAAGTTGATTCTGGGTGCGCACCAGTTTCACACTTCAAACGCCAATGTGGCAGTAGAATCAATGAATTGTAATTGTGTCTTTTGAGTTGGTTCACTAGCACATCCCTCTTTTGTGCTTGCAAGAACCATCATTCATTACTACCCCCTCCGTCTCATAATATAAGAACGTTTTTGACACTACATTAGTATAAAAAACACTCTTATATTATGGGACGGAGGGAGTACGTCCTATGAAATTACTGGTTCTACAAAAAAAAATTGCTAGGAGTTGCTTTCATGATGTTGACCTCACATTCTAACTTGGTTACTGTGTGCAGAGTAGATGGCTCAGAATGCTTGGTTCTTCACGCGGCATACTTGGTTCTGGTTCTAGCTAGTGATGGCCAAGAGAAGAAGATAAAATGATGTTGGCTTCCACCTATACAGAATAGTCACAGTTTCTTGTACTACATACTCCGGGCTTAGTTGCCGAGATAAGCTGGGAACCATGCTTCGTGCTCTCTTCGCGGTTTTTCACATTGTCATTCTTGCAATGCAATTGCATCCAAGGAATGAGGACCATTTATGAGCCCGCTGTGGAGATTTTCTCGACAACTGAAGAGAAGAGCGTCATAACAAGAGGGAGAGAAAAAGATATCACCACAGAAAGATGGTATGGCAACTGGGATCTGATTTAAGGATGATAAGGCTGCTAGGGAATGATTTCAGATCAAAAATCTCCTTGGCATGTTATTCAGAAGAAGTACCTCAAATCTATTCCAAGTGGTATTTGAGAAGCCAATGTATGTAGAGCCGTTTGTACTTTGATGCTTCTTTTGTTGAAACAATATTCTACTGATACTTATGTTACATCAAAACCTGATTATGTAGTTCTTTGGCAGGCATCCTGGCTATAGGAAGATTGTAGATAAACATACATAAAATATACTCCCTCCATCCCATAATATAAGAGCGTTTTTGACACTACACTCTGGGATGGAAGGAGTAGAAAGACAATACACAGCTATTATACTGATGTGACAGACGTCCTCTTTCTATCTGCTTATGTTGCTGTCGGGTGTAGTGAAGCACGCACATCTATCCGATGGACCACTCACACTGCATACAAGGGATAAAGACCTACTT